GCGCTGGACTGCGGAGCAACCTCGCTATGGGCGCCCGGCTGGCTGGTTAGCTGCTAGTCACCGGGTGGCGAGATACTCCGCAGTGAGTCTTCTAAGAGCTTGGAGTCAGCAAGAGGCAGCCAGCCGCTGGGAGCGGGAGGGATTTAATGGTGCTGGCCGCCCCGAAATCGGCACACACGCATCCCAGCGACTGGAATACACCTCTGAGGAGACAAAGGTTAGAAAAAGAGGGGGTGAGGCTCTTGGAAGGCAGAATGCAGGGGGAAATTCGCCAGGGAAATCAGGAAAAAGGCCATGAAGGCAAGCGGAGCCTGCACATGACCAGCCGCAGCCAATGACGACCGCAAATAGGTCATAAAAAGGTCTATTACCAAGTTGTAAATTTTCTTCAAACAAAAAGGAATTTACTGCAATTCCTTGCGGATTTTGCACATACAGCTCACAAGCGCCATGTTCTCTCTCTCTCTCTCTCTCTCTCTCTCTCTCTCTCTCTCTCTCTCTCTCTCTCTCTCTCTCTCTCTCTCTCTCTCCCCACCTTTCACTCTATCTTCTCCTCCTCCTTCCCCCTTCCCTTCCCTTCTCTTCTCTTCACCCCTCCCTTAGTATGAATTTTTTTTTTGTTTGGCCCAACATTTCTGACCAGTTGGATAATGTGTCACAGCTTCAATGAGAGATTTGAGCCCGTTCAATCTAGATGCTGAGAGGAAATTAAATTCATGCCATCCCATTTTCCCCCTCCCTCTCTCTGCCTAAGCTCCTTCTTTCCTCCCCCAACCCCAAGGAAGCCACTTGAAAGACTGTGGAGTAGTTTGCTCTCACTGCCCTCAACTAAAAGCAATGACACCCCCCACATTAGGTTCTCATCCAAACCATAGCTCTGTAGAGAATGAAAACCTCCCAACACCTTGTTTTAAATTGGGGTATAAGATCATCCCTAGGGAAGTTAATATTGTGGCCAAAGGGTAGGAATTTTTTTTTCTTGTCGAACTCTAAAAGATATTGATTTAAGCACTCACTACGGAAATCTGCTTCTGTGTTTATCTCAGGAAACATGTCAGCCTAAGCGACTTAATATTTAAGGATGGACAGGTATCTCCGACTCTTTAATTTTTTTTTTTTGTTTCTGTGTGTGCGTGTTATCTCTTTGCTGAGGAAAGGCCTCATGCCTACTTAATTATAGTCAAATAACTCTATCTCCTCCGCTCCCATTTTTTAAAAATCAACAACAGCAACAACAACAACAACAGCCGTAACACCGAAATGAGAAAAAAATATGAGAGAAGCCTGTTTCTCCTTTTAAAGAGAATTACCATCAGTTCTTTAAACATCAACCCCAAATTGATTCCTTCCACCTTAATTGCAAGAGGCATAAATCCTTCTGATTCTTAATAGAAAACATATACAGATACCCATATCTAAGAATATATATGTATATGTACATGTGTGCATAAAACTAATGTAGGAGAAACTGAGCCTAGATTTCATGATGCAGTCCTCCAATCATTAGCAGAAATAACCATCAGTTCCTCAAAATCAGCTCAAAATATTTCACACATAATATGGCCCTTTCCTCCCACTCCCATCCCCAACTCTACTAGTGTGATTTCTCTTGGGTTATTTTTATGGAGTTTATAGAAAGTGCCATGCTAGATATGTCTTTGATGTGCACACAGCCACCATTTATATATGCATACCCAATAAGCTTAAATGTCTTAATCTATGCAATTTAAATATACATTTATACAAAGATCCTCCTCTATAATGTGTCTATTTTCCCTGTCTGCAACTGGGTTGACCTTGTATTACATAGATGTAAAGCCTTTGTTTCCATCAGACATGAAATCTTCAGCTCTTAAAAAAAAAAGTACCAACTAACAACCTTATATATTGGCTTGAGGGACTTGAGGAGGGAGTAATTACAGTTGCATCCATTAATTTATTAAATAACCTTTTCCCTGTCTCCTTTCTACATACCCACGGGACTCAATGAACATTCACAGGGTGATGAAAATAGGCACTGGACTCCAACATAAGAACAGAGACCATTTAAAAAAAAATACTTTTGAGCATTCAAACAAGTGGAAAGGGTTCTTAAGAAGGCTTTGAACTCTCTGACAGTGGACTGTATATGCTGAAACTAAGAACCAAAGTATGATCATTTACAAAATTTTCTGTGAAATAATCTCAAAGACCAGTTCATCTACTTCCTTTTGTGCTGTTAGGTGTGGTTAGATGTTTTCTATTAAAAGAAGACACATTTCCACCTGTCTCATTTTCAGATTATAGTGGGGGCAATTCCTCTCACCAAAAAGGTCTCCACAATTGCACATTTATTTCTGGGAAGTGTTAAGTAACATCCTGGATTGCATGAGGGCTTACAAAGTGGCTGTTGCTGAATTTGCTTTTCAATCAACGATCTTTAAGTTTCCCATCTGCCTTTGTGCCCTTATGTTCACCCTGAAGTCCTAAATGGTACTGAATCTAAAGCATTTAAAAATATGGTTTTAATATTATAGTATATGATTAAAGAAATAAAATATTACTATATAAAACTCTCATAAGAAACTACTGTATCTGAATGCTACTAAGTACTGCTTGGTAGGCTAGGAATTCTCTGAAGGTTTATGCAAATTTCTGCAGCAAAATGTTTGCTTGGTAGCTTGCCGCAGTGCTCTGATGTTTACAGATTCTAACCAATTAGAAGTGCTTCTTGAATGCCTGTCATTTTGAGTCTCTCTGAAAGAAATACCACTGTAGGTGGATGTCCAAGGGCAACCTTCTGCATTGAGAAAGAACGTGATATGTATATGAATGTACACACAGGCAGAGTGCGTGATTTCTCTCAATCTCTTTGTGTACATAGGTGCAATCTCTCTTCCTGTATATTTATGTAATTACCTGCCTTGTATCTATCAAATGTATCTGTATGTATATATTCACATATGGAAATATATATATCTATATATACATATATATATATATGTTATATATATATATATTCCAATATTTCCCCAAAGTAGCTCACTAACTAGATTTTTATACGTGAGGTCAAAATGGACTTTTTTTTTATATATAGGAGAGGGAAGGTGAGGAGGATTGAAAAGGCAGTATTTAGCATGGCAGATTAGATTCAGTACCTAGATTGCTAGAAAATTGGTGTATTTTGACCTTTCCTTCCCACTTCAGTGAATCCCTCCTATTCAACTTTGTATGTTTTTAGAGCATGCATTAATTACTGAACTTGTTCATTCAAACATTTCCATTCGACAAATGGTTCTCTTTTAATATGGGTTCCTGTTTTAAGTCAGTTGCTGGCCTAAATCAGATCTTTTTTAGGTTGTATCTCTTTGGGAGAATCATTAAATACAACAACCTAATGTTCTTCATGATGTGAAGAAAAATCCCCTAAATACTGGGCTAGTGGGGTCTGGATAACAGAAAACTATGAAAAATTCTCATCTGTGAAAATTCATTAGAAAGCTTTTTCTGTTCAAGGAACATTTTCATCATATCGAACAAAATCTGGCACAGTTAAGAGAAAAAATGCTCATAAATCCATCATACATTTATGCAGCTGTCTCTTTTCGTGCAAATGTTCCTTAAGCCAGGGTTGACCATGACTTAAACTTGTCTTCTCCTGGGCTTATGTCAATGAGCCCCACAGTCTCTTTTTCCTATTAGGATACTTATGTCCTCTTGTTCATCTGCTGTCAACGTAAGCATTTCCCTGTGGGTAACCTAGATTTCCCAAATTCGAAGATTATACTTAAGTCCAAAGCAATGGAAATTAATCACAGGGGAAATTTTTAAATGATGAAAATAAACTGTGGCTTATTCAAAAAGTAAATATAGGAATGCTACACGACTGTCCTTTTTGTGTGAGTGGTAGTTTCACTTATTTTAGACAGACATTCAGTATGTTGTAATAATGCATGTTGTAGTTCCTGTATCGGTCTTGGAAAACCAGGAACCCAGGACGCTTTTAGGTATGACTCAGGCAGCTCATAATGTATTGTTTGAGTAATTTCAAGCCTTTCATGGAATCTTAGAAAAATTACTTACAGAGAGAAGAACTGGGGGCACCAGACAACATCATTTTGAAAGCTTCCTTGTATTTTTTTTTCGGGGTCGTGTGTGCGAAAATAAAATGGATGACCAAAATTAATTTTGCTTTCAGCTGAAGCGTTGTGGCTTATGGGAAAGTCTTTGCGGCATTACAGACACAGGCTCACTGAAGGAGATCCTTCCTCTTTTATTTTGTTTTTATTGAAGGGATAGATATGTTCTATTAGCGGCTGTTACACAAGCATTTTAGATGTTTGCTCACAGTGTTCATTTCAAATAGGTGGAGCCATTGTTTTCATGGATGAAACATGAAGACGTACCAGCCAACATAAGTGGAGACGTAGTTTTTAGTTGGCTCAACATGATTTCATGAACAGAGTGCAGGTAATACAAATAAATATGGCACCTACTCTATAAACAAAGAAAAATCATGGAGTTGGTACAAATAAGTGACTTAAGGAAATTACAACAGTGGTTCAAACTGAAAGTAGGAGGAAAGTTGAGAAATAAGCAGTATTTGACCGAGCAACTGGCCCGGCATGAATAGTGATCAAGAATGATATCATTTGCTTTTCAAGTATTCATTCATTAGATGATTTAGTTGCCATAATTTGCATGGACTTTAACAAAAGATTAATTGTCAATTTTGACATTGTAGTAAAACTTTAGTCACTGGTACAGTTTCCATAAACTTAAGTGCTTTTCCAAGTCCCAAGACCATATATAGAGTGCCCTTTTGCAACTATATTGTGCTTTTAAGATATTTGGCCCAAACTTTTCCCCGAGATATTACATATATAAAAATGCCAAAAAAGAATCTTTAAGAGTAAACAAAAGGCACCAAAGCCATTCATTACAAAAGCAGTAAGGGAAAAAAACATAAATAAAACATTTTACATTTATTTTAATCAAATAATATAAAGTAAATATTCTGCTGACATAATTTCTTCAAAAAAAACTAATAGATTTCTTTTAATTTACTCACCACAAGAAAAAAAGTTTTAAAATGTTCAAGTGCACTTGTTTCGATTAATAAAGCATTTTAGGTTCAACTACTCATGCTTATCATTAGGAAGTTTATGTTGTTGAGGCAATCATCAACTTAGATATTAAAAATTACAATTTAAAAATATTGCTATAAAGGCGGTATCAAATTTCCACAAAAAAAAAACCCAGCTGAATTATTTCTATGCTCTGCCTGAATTTTTTTTTAACCCAAACACCTCTCAAGCACAGAAACATCAAGAGCAGTGACATTATGGTAGCTTGAAATACAGGTAGAATCCTTTACAATAAAGAAAACAGGTGGCATTCACCAGCATATGTTGATCATTATTTTTAATAGTCTACGGTAAAATTTTAAAGGCATAAGTTAATTTGTCTGGCCCCCAGCTCTGTCCTCTTCCAGATCATGTGCTTCTTTTTTTGTTTCCCCTTCCTTTCCCTCCTGCCTGGATACGGGAAATTTGTCCTTGTTGTTCTCTTTTTTCCATTTCATTCTCCTGTTCTGAAACCATATCTTTACCTGCCTCTCGGTGAGTCCTAGAGCGTGGGAAACCTCAATCCTTCTCTTCCTGGTCAGATAAGGGTTAAAAAGGAATTCCTTTTCCAGCTCTAGCGTTTGGAAACGACTGTACGTTTGTCTTCCTCTCCTCCTACCAGGAGCTGCTGATTAAAACAAACAAAAAAGGAAAAAAAACAGTTTTTAAAAGCACAGAGTTTGTTGGTGCCTCTGCATGTTGGTTGAGATTTATCTTATGCATGAGGGAAACACCTATATTGCTATGTTCTAGATCTGTAATAAATAGGTGTGTGTGCGTGTGTGTGTGTGTGTGTGTGTATGAAGGGTGAGAAAGTATACACAAGTTATTCTGGCAACTGTATCCTTACACTATTCTATTTTTAATATATATGTGCATATAGACACTGTATTACTTTATAACCAGAAGCCATTGAGGTTACGGCAAGAAAAAAGCCAAGGAGGGGGAAAGGAGTTTAAAGCTAAAACGTGATACGGAAACAAATTTTTCCTCTCTTTCTCTCATACTTTCTCTTTTTTAAACTGCATCCCAACCTTGTGGTCTCATCCAGGGAAACATTTGAGAAGGAGACGAGCTCTGATTTAAGTGGTCTGGGTCCTCGCCAATATTACCACTGGACGATTTACAGTCAGGATATTGTACCAGCTCGGCCTCTTGCTGGGTCGTAAAAATCGGCTGTCTCTGTAAGTTATCGTATCCGTAAAACTTAGCGGGCTCCCCGTGACAGGCAATCCCACTGCAGGGGGGAGGCGGCGGCGGAGGAGGAGGCGGAGGAGGAGGATGCGGAGGAGGAGGGGGGGCCGGCTGGTAGGCAGAGGCCGGACTCCCCCCGGCAGGGTGGTAATAGTCTGGGCCCCCGCCGCCGCCGCCCCCTCCGCTAGCGGGTCCCGGGTGAGGCTGCTGCTGCGGCTGCTGCGGATGCTGCTGCGGCTGGTGGTGGTGGTGGTGATGGTGGTGATGCTGGAAGCCGGCGGCGCTGTTACTATACAGCTGCAGGGCGGCGGCGGCGCGGCGGCGGCGGCGGCGGCGTGGCGGCCGCTGACATCGGGTGCAAAGTGACAGTCGTAGTAAGTGGGATTGATGGCCTCGCCCGCCGCCGCCGCCGCCTTGTACTTGGAGTACAGCGGGTTCACAAAGTAGGAGCTCATCGGAGCGAGCGGCGCGCGCTGAGGCTGGGGCTGGGGCTGGGGCGGCGGCGACGAAGGCGCGAGAGGGCGGCCCCGAGCAGGGAGGGGAGAGCGCGCAGGAGGAAGCGCGAGGGAGCGACCGAGTGCCTCTTATGCTGCTGCCGCCGCCGCCGCTACGTCGCTGCCACCTCCGAGGGCCGGGGAGCCGGAGGGCCCTAAGCCTGGGCGCTCATGACCCCGCCGCTGCGCGCCGCTGTGGCCTTCGCGCTCGCTCTCTAGGTCTGGGACCCCAGTGCGCCGCCCGGCTGCGCCCAGCCCCCGCGCGCCCTCCTGGCTCTGCTCCGCGCGCCACTCGCTCTGCCTCTCCGCGCGCGCCGCGGCCGGGGCTGCAATATAATCGGCGGCGCCCCGGGTGACCTGCCCCGCTGCCTCCACTGTTTCCTATTAGGCACAAGGCGGCCCTGAGCGTACCAGGGGGAAAAAAAAGTGCACCTAAGCACAGGGGGGAATCTTTGGCTTCAGTTTACATTTACCGCACCGGAGGAAAAAGAAAAAAAAAGAAAAAACTTTCACCGCCACCCCTCATCTCCTCCCTCACATAACCCCCCCGCTCTCCCCTCCCACAACCCCCGCTGCCGCCGCCGCGGCTGCCGCTTCAGTGCGCTCTGGCAAGGCATTTTTACACAACGCCACTGAGCGGAGAGGCAGAGAGATGGGGGCCGAGATAATAATCGCGGAGTAATCCAGAGTTTTCGAGTGAAGGCCACTGAAGCTCAACGGGACAGCTCACTCCCTTACGACGGGATACCTCCGCTGGCCTTAAAGGAGGCCCATAAAGCAGCACTGCCAAGGGCTTATTGTCCCTCCCTGATGGGACGGGAATGGCAAGTCCCAGAGGCAGGAGAAGGGGGAAAGGCAGAGCCTTACACTTGGGAGAGGCGAGTAGGTCACTCCCAGAGGGCACAAAGTAAACTGTCCCCTGAACTCTCGGAACACGCCATCGAGAGCCCTCTGTTTATTTTGTACTGCTATAAATGTACACAAAATAACCCGGCACATAGGCCAGAAACTAATATGTATCCGAGGGAAGGAGCTCATTGTATCCTGTGGACAAGAGTTTCTGCCTGGAAATTTAAAAGTAGTTTCATTAAAATGCACACAAGCAGTCTAAAATCCTGGGTGTTATCAAAGCGAATCAAAACTATTTTCCAGCCCAGCAGGTCGTTTGGAAATGAGATGTACATTTACCCTTGACGCATTGCATGCATGGCTGAAGCTCTCAGGTTAATTGATATTTAATGGAAATCATGCCTATGAATATACTTTCTATCATTTCACCCGTGGTGGACGTCATTCTCCAGGCAAGGGGGTGAGGCGGGGAGGACAGAAAAATGTGTGGGTGAGAAATTAGCATTGCTTGAGGATGGAATAGAAAATAAGAAAGAAATGTTCTGAGAAGAGGAAAAGAACTCACATTCCAGCTTGTTGGTAATTCTCCAGGTACCGGACACGCTGCTCTCAATCGACTCAAGTGCAGAGCTCTAGCATGGCTAGGCTTTGTTTCAGGCTGGGTGGGGTGCCTAAAGCCTTCCCCAAGTCCCCTCCATATGAAACAGAACTGTGATAAAGTTCTGGAAACAAAAGGGATTAGGGTCCTGTGTTCAGGATACCACTAATTCCAATCTGCTCCAAGGGGTCTTTCATTTATCTAAAATTTTAGTTCTTCGAAGTCTTTGATGTGCCGCATATAAAGGCATAAGTATGTGGATTTCTTTGTTAGAAAGAGAGAAAGAAAGAAAGAAAGAAAGAAAGAAAGAAAGAAAGAAAGAAAGAGAGAGAGAGAGAGAGAGAGAGAGAGAGAGAAGAGAAAGAAAGAAAGAAAGAAAGAAAGAAAGAAAGAAAGAAAGAAAGAAAGAAAGAAAGAAAGAAGAGAAAGAAAGAAAAGGAAGGAGGAAGAAAACAAAGAAGGAAGGAAAGAAAGAAAAGGGGGCAGAAAGACGCCTGGGCTGTGATCTAGGCTGTAAGGAGAAGCAGTTTGGGCCATGTGGCGAAGTCTGGTGTGAATCCGCAAAAATATTTATGATTCCAGAAAACATAATCCAAAGCTGATTCGCATTACAGTCAACCTCCTTCTCCACCCACCTCTCTCTCTCTTCTTTTTCTCTCTTCCCCTTTTTAAAATGTCCAATAAATATAATGGGTGTTCCCCCTCCCCCCACCCCCCGGTTTGTCTAGTTTACCAAGCAAATTTTTTTCTGCCGTATAAATTTATGTTACAAGCGCTTCAAGCTGACCGGCCTTTTGAACAGAAATCCAAGACTCACAAAACCCACCACGGAAGTTTCCAGTTTACCCTAAAATGCATTCAGGAATTGTTGCAAACTAAAGAAGAAATGTGGTTTTAAAACAGGAGACGATCCCAAATTGACTTAAGGGAAATTATTTCCAACTATATCGATACTCCTTTTGTGTTGGTCCACACCGCTAGCATGGTCTTAAAGTAATTCCTGGAATATTTGATTCTATACTTTGCAAATAGAAAAAAAAACATGTTCAAGTTTATAGAAAAAGCTTCACTTAGATTGTTCTAATTATGTAGTTCGAAGTTTTTATCTAGATTGATGCTGTATGAATGTACAAGTTGTAAATAAATTTTATGGATTTTTTTAGTATTCAGGAAGAGATATTTAATTTTGAGCAGTAATTATTCATATATTTCCATTGAACATTGAAAATCCTAAAGCCTGATTCTAACATTTACCAATTTGTAAATTTTTTTCAGCAAAACAAATTCAGAAATAATTTTCAATTAAAATAAAAGGACTTAGAAAATCAGCTGTCTATTTTTTCATGTCTCTCTAGCTGTGTGTGTGTGTGTGTGTGTGTGTGTGTGTGTGTGTGTATTTTTAAGCCTCGTAATGGATCAATGTGTCCAAATTAAATTAAAAGCATACATGATGGAAGTATTGCATTTCGGTACTTTCCAGGAGTTCGGAGTTTCTGGAAACTGAACTGGAGCCCCACAGAATTCGTTCTATACAATTAGGCCTAATTCAGAAAACATTTCCAGATTTTCATTTACATTTCCATCAGAAAAAACACTGGAGGGCACATTTAAAAAATAATTATATTTATAATCAGAATAGAATATAGTCCTGTTAGCTTTGTAAGTAAGGATATATTGTTTTACACATTTCTATTTTGATAAAATATGTTCAAATACCTTCCTGTTTTATCATTTCAACGATGCAATTTCCAACTTTTAAGAAATATTGACTGACTCAAAGTTTTATTTCACACAAATACGCATGAAGGATTGAATGGTGCAGTTTGTATTTTTTGGTTAAAATCATCCTAATTTGGAATTGAAATAGCAATGTAAATACTTTTAATAAAAATGTTTCTGGGCAGGAGCCCGAAGCTTTATGAGTTCGGAAAGTGGAGCAACAGCGCTCTCTAGTGCCCAAATGAAATCTATATCAGTCCAAATTCACCTTGGTCTTTATTCATTCTTTTAAGCCAATTTTAAATCTCTCTCTCTCTCTCTCTCTCTCTCTCTCTCTCTCTCTCTCTCTCTCTCTCTCTCTCTCTCTCTCTCTCTCTCTCTCTCTCTCTCTCTCTCTCTCTCGGTTAATAATGATAACAAGTGAAGTGAACAGAGAACTAAGTCAAAATAAGGAGGGACTGAATGGAGATTGATCTGAGTTCAAACTTTATACAATGCTCTGACACAGTCCTTGCAGGCTTTAAAGTTTCTGATTAAATATTGGCCCTACTATCCTTTTCAAGCACACTTATCAACTGGGTTTAATTTTTAAAAAAGTCCATAATCTTCTAAGTACTGTTTGCATGAGTTTTTTTCCCCTCAAGTAAAGAGACTGAAGATTACCACTAATTATAAACAATTAAAAAATCTTAACTTTCTTCCTTAAGAAACTGTTGCTACTGAAGGTAGTCGATAATGAATTCTGCTATTTTAATTCTTATTATTTTACTTCCTTGAGCCTCCTTTGTTGAAGGATTCCTTGCCCTCTAAGCTAGATTTAAAACTTTTTTTTCTAATATAGGACTGATGAACAGAACAGCTGAACAGCTCCATTCTCCCATTTGTATGTTTGGACTTAAATGCATAACAATATGCTTTTTGTAATAATTCCAAAAGGCACAGATGGAATTGAAATTCTATGCAGTTCTTGGACTTGAAGAACAAAAGCTGTCACAAGTTTTAATGTTTTCTACTAGTTTAAACATTTCCCCCTTAATCAAGGTGAAAGCTGAATGGATATCGGTGAATTTAGGGTATTTTAACTGAGAAGAATCCAAATTATGGACAAGATGTTTCTAGAGACAGGAGACTGTACGTTCAGCTATCCAATACAGTTGCTTGTCAGTGGACTAGATGGCCTTAATTTTAAAAACAAAAATAAACAAATAAAAAACCAAGTTCACATTAGGGTTACATCCTTGAAATGACTGACGGTGTGTTAGATTTAAATGTACCAGAAGCATGGTGGCAATTGTCAAAAATATAGGAACTATTGATGGTCTATGCTTAGCAATAAACTCGTTTTTTAAAAAAGCCTTCAGTGTCCTCCACCTCTTTTTCATTTCCTTCCTTCTTTATTTTTTTTGTAAGTGCCCACACCTCAACCCCAGCTTTCCTTAAGTTGTGCTATCCTCGTCCAACTCTGACTTATTTATATTTTATTGTCTGGATTTTAAGACCTAGTTTTGTCTGCATTTCTTCTTCCCCTGTAACAAACACAAACATCAAAATAAGATGGTTTCAAAGCAAAGCGCCAGGCATATCGTAAACTCATTAGGTCCAGACGTCTAGCCATCTCAATGGCTTTATTATACCTTGGTTCTTCCTGTTTTAAAAGAGTTATAGGTATAGGATTGACAATGAATGGGGGATGCAAGGCAACACCTTTTGCTGCCCTCTGGGCCTTGGCTTTTACCCCTTTCTTTTTCTTTTATTATTTTTTCTTTTTCCAAGAAGAAGCATCATGACCCCCAAGATTTCAGAAAGATTTTCTTTACATTGGAAATAAGCAAAACTGGAGACTTATGCCCTGGTGCTTTTGGCCTCTTCCATTCAATGAGCTCAATTCTG